CTTTTAAAACTATCTGGCCTCAATCTATATGCTGAGCAATAAATTCAAGAACCTGGACTATTGTGAAGAACAATGTGGAATCAGGATTATGGGAGACTTGATTCATCAGCAATCTGTGTTATGTAGATAGCACAACCTTGATTGCAGAAACAAAAGAAAATCTGGAACACTTACGGTAGAAGATTACAGACATGGATCAATACGGATTACATCTCAACATAAAGAAAACAAAAATCTTCATCACTGGACCAATAAGCAACATCATGATAGGTGGAAAAAAAATTGAAATTATCAAGATTTCATTTTACTTGGGTCAACATTTCATTTTACTTGGATCCACAATCAATATACTTGATAACAACAGTCAAGAAATTTAAAAAAAAAAAAATGCGTTGCACTGAGAAAATCTGTTGTTAAGGACCTCTCCGAAGTCCTAAAGAGAGCCAAGATATCAATTTAAAGACTAAGTGCATCTGATCCAAGCCATGGTATTTTTAATTGCATCCTATGCATCTGAAAGTTAGACAATGAATAAGGATGAGAGAATCATCAATGTCTTTGAATTTGTGATGGTAGAAAGGGCAGTAACTATTTCACAGACAGCCAAAAGAACAAGAGAACAAGTCTGACTTGGAGGAACTACATTCTGTGGAACCTTAGAATCACATACTATGGACATGTTTTCAGAAGGAAACAATCCTTCGAAACCCAGTCATGCTGGGAAAGTGGACGTGAGAGCAGAAAACCTCAACAAGACAGACTAGCACACTGACGACAACAACGGTTTCAAGCATATCATAGATCTCGTGTTCGTCGGGTTACTACGAGTTGTAGTGGACCTAACAGTAACACTGCTTGACGTGCTATGATGTTTATAGATAAGGAACAGTCATCAAGAAATAACCATAAAGATGAAGTGCATTTTAAAATTAGTATTTGCTGGTTTTCTGAGAAGAAAAGCAAGATTCACCAAGAATGATGACAAATCCAAACCGCATTTAAGAAATCAAATAGCAAACAAAATTGAGAATGACACAAACGAACACGTTCTGAGAAAATATTTAAGAAAGCTTACTTTTCTTGCTTGTCAATTTTTTTTTAAACTTTCAGAAATGTAAAAAAAAAAAAAAAACCAAAACAAAACCCCTCCCATCTTTTCTTACTAGTCAATTTTATAAAAAGGAACTTCTAAGAAGTTCCTTGATAAATTTCTTTTTCCTCTACAGATTTCCTTTAAACTCTAACAAAAACTGAGTAAAAGTCGCTAGTCTTGCTTCACATTTACACTGAAAACTCAACTTCTCTCGTTGTTCTTCTACAATCTCATCCCATTCTTCTTTCTTTCTATGTTAGCTTCCTTTGGGACTTTACTCCCTGACCCTCACTACTGCATTATGTGGTCACTTCTGCCATCTAGTGGAGGGATAAAGTAAGGTGAAGTAAGGTTCTGAAAATCATTCAATAAAAGCAATATATGATAGGGTATTATAGTTATCACAAGAGTCCAGAATTAAGGGTGCATAGTGGAGTGTACCTGGGGTGGTGGGAGGCATGCGGAGGGATTGTAAACCAAAGAAAGAATTTTTCTTTTACTTTTTCAAAGAGAGGAGCAAACTGGGGGCAGAGGGGCTAAGCAGGGAGAAAAGTGCAACAATGAATGAACGGAAATCCAAAATCTCTGTAAATGTTCATTAAAATTATTAAAATTAAAAACAAAACAACAAAAGCCTGTATCTGGGGTATATTTTTAGGTTTTGCCATCAAATCAATCTCAATTCTCTGGTTAAAAGTCAAGGTCTGTGACCATCTACACCACTCAGGAATCCCTTTCTTTGTTTCCACAAACTAGAAATACTTGCCTCACTGACAATTACACCAAAAGGACTGGGTGGAGGGAACGACAGTGAAGAAATCTAGGCCAAAGACACAAGAAACACATCTTAGTAGAAAACCAGTATTGATAACTTAGGGATAAGGTACTGAAAAAAGTAAATTTTTAGTCATAATTTTTATTTAAATACATACACAAACACATACACATCATTGTCTCGCTGCCGTCAAATCAATTACAATTCATACTGTAACTATAGAACAGAAACCCTGTGGGATTCCTACTCTGGGTTACAGGGAAGCAAAGTGCTCATCTTTCTTCCACACATAGGCTGGTGAGTTTGAGCTGCTGATCTGTTAGTTAGCGGCCAAATGCCTTAACACAATGCCATTAATGTTCCATAGATATGTTTGTTTACTTCATGTGTTAGTACATTAAGAACAAAGTTAAGAACCTGCAGACAAAAAGACTCTAAAAGGATCTATGTTTTCAAGAGGCAAGACGGGATAGCAGAGTCAGTAAATTTCAGGCTTTGTAGTCTCTGGGTTTCTGTTCAGGCTCTCTGGATATGTAGTGTTAAGGTTTTTTTACTTTTCTGTTCATTGCTTTAGACCTGACGACATGACTAGGAGGAAATAATATAAAACAAATCTTTGAAACTCCAGTCACCACCTTACTTCCCTGATGGTGTGGTCTCCAACTGCCTAAACTGTGAACACATGTTGATCAGTCTTCAACATCAATATTATCAACAGTTAAAAGGTCAATGTAAGAGAGAGGGCACTAACTTGACTGTAAGGAGTTTGAGGTGAGGCATAGCCTGATGTAGCCCTGAAGTCAGTGCCATAGTTAAAGGTTCAGGTTGTTGGATGACTGAAAGAAGAGGTAACTTGTGACTGTTCTAAGACAAAGCTTGCTGGAGAACTGAAGAAACTAGACGCTTCTTGCATTTATTTTGCTGGACTGAATCTTGACTTTTACTTGCTGACTGAGAAGCTGTCTAAGCTAATTATGGCATTCTATTTTGTTGTTAATCTGCCTTGGGATTGCTGGATTGAACCTGGACTTTCTCTGTGTCAGGTCCTTTGCCTGCTTCCTTCTGCCACCACTTGACCTATTTCCTTATTAAACCTCACAACTGTTAGTAAAATCAAGGCTATGAGTCAACTTGCAATGACTATCAGACCCAGCGATTAGAAATAGGAGCAGTAGCGTGGGGGACCATGTTTGACCTTATGGGGATCAGTTTTTTTTATTGGATGTTGATGAGGACAGTTCTTCTTTGTGAAATTAGTAAAGGCTGGACTTGGCCTTCTCCTGTTGCACTTGCTCCTATTTAATGTCTATGAATTTTGCTATCTGTAAATCCGAACAAATGCATCAAATCCTTGACAGAGAAGAACTACTCTAAGGCTTTAAAAAAAAAGTCATTATTGCTAAAAGAAATGAGATGTTCTGACTGAAACCCCAGCAATAAAGACTATTTATAATGCTACTAAGGAGAAATGAAAGCAAATCTTTCTTGCTGGGCTCAAATGTAAAGAGTATTCACACAACTTCATTTATACTCCACCAACTTTTCAAAAATTATGTAATAGAGAGCATATAAAAATTCAAACTAAGAGCAAGAAGTGTGGTATAAGCTCTTAGTGTTCAGAAAGTTCAAGAAAAAAATAATTTATACTTGAGAAAGTTGCTGAACATCAGAATTGAGACTTCATGATTGTCAGAGACAAGGTGAGAAGGATTGCTTCTCTGAGAACAAGAGTGAACTGTAAAGACAGAAACTCAATTCCAAAGGGGCTATCTTTTCTGTCAAGGTGCTCAAAATCATTAGTCATTAAAACAAAATGAAACCTAACACCGTCCAGTTGATTCCAATTTAGGGGAATGAAACTTCCTTGGGTTTCCAAAGCTGCAACTTTTCACAAGAGGAGATAACTCATCTTTCTATTGGAGCAGCTGGTGGATTTGAGCTGCTAACATTTCATTCAGCAGCCAGTTAATAATGCTCTATGACATTAGGGTTCATTAGGTAAAGGCAGATCAAAACCACAATGAGCTAGCACATCAAATTCACTATAATTACTAGGACTTAAAACACACACCATCATCAAAACAAAACAAATAATCATGAAAAGAAGCTGGAGCTTACCATTCATTGCTGGTTGCTGTTGTTAGGAGCCATCAAGTTAACTACGATAGAGATCCTATCAACAACAGAATCTGAACCTTGCCCTATCCTGTGCCATTCTCACCATCTCTGATATACTTGAGCCCACTGTTACAGTCACTGTGTCAAAACTGACTGCTGTTAGAACCACCGCATAAGTGACCCCTCTTTGGGTTTCCAAGCCTATAAATCAAACAAGAAGAGACTGTCCATCTTTGTCCCACAGAGGCAGGGTTGGATTCTAATCACCAGAGAGCTGCGGCGTTTGTAACCAGAGCTTGCAAAACGGTAGAGTGACAGTGGCAAAGTTGGGCAGTTTTTCAGAAAATTAAATACAGAATTATCAGTAGAGGGTCTGGTGATTCTATTCCAAATGAACTAAAACTAAGCTGGAACACAGATATGTGTACATCAATGTAAACATCATACTGTACTTGGCCACCAACACTGCAGCATTTTTCACAACAGACAAAATGTGGAAATAAATCTAAATGTCCATTAACACACAAGTGGATACACAAAACAGAATACTACTCAACCATAAACAGAAATGAAGCTGTGATGCATGCTATTGTATGGGGTGGACCTTGAAAGCATGCTTAGTAGAATAAGTCATTCATAAATGGACAATTACATGCCCTCATGTATGTGAAATATCTATAATAGGCAAGTATATAGAGATCAAAGTTTATCAGTAGTGACCAGGAGAAAAAAAGAAGGTAGGAAAGAAGACTTAGTGCTTAGGAGACACTGAGCATCTATTGAAAACAATGCAGTAACTTGTGAATATGTAACAGTGACAACTGAACAACATGATGAGCATCCCTGGACTATTTCTCTGAAATGAGAAATTCTTAATACATACATTTTACAGTTTTAAAAAGCAAAAAACCTTACTATTTAAATTTTCTTAAAAGGCAATGTACACCAAAAATGAAATGGCCTCATATTATCTGCGTGAGGTACCCTACAGATAGTGACTACTAAAATACTTACCAATAAGAAGACTTTTTAGTCTTCTATAGTCTTCAGTTACATCAAAATCATCACCAGCAAATATTAACATAGGTTTTGTTCCCTCAGGACATTTGCTGTTCTAGGAAGTAAAAAAATGTAATTATGTAATTATCAAATTCTAAACTGTTTAATCATATACCAATTTTAAAAGTCAGTAATTAATATAGTAATTAATTTTCACTTTTTCTAAACTGTCCTCCAACCATGTCTGAGGATACTGATTTTAACTTTAAAAACAAGAATTGAGATTTTTAAAAACTTAACAGATTTTTATTCTGGTGTTTTAGCAATTTATTTACAAAATTTGAATAAATTGTTTTCCAGAACAGATTCTTCCAATTTCCCTCACCCCAACCACCCATCAAATTGTGTAATTCCATGATTCATTCCCCCCGCCACCACGCACACCTTTCACCCCTCTGCTTCCACCCTCCCTCCATCCCTTGGATTCTTACACTCATTATACAATAATGGTTTTATACAATGTTTGTCCTTGTGGGACTGAATTAGTTCACTCAGCATAATGCTCTCCAGGCCCTCCCAAGTTAGGTAACAATTCACAAAAATCATTGCTCCTGCATGCTGCATAGTATTTCACCATGTGAATGTACCGTGATTTCTCAATCCATTCATTTGTGGTTGCACATCTGGGCTGTTTCCATGTTCTTACCATAGTAAATACTGCTATGAACACTGGTGTACAAGTCTCCATTTGTGCCTCAGCTCTCGTTTTCTCAGGGTACATTCCAAATAGTGGAATAGCTGGGTCATATGGAATTTCTAAGCTCAGGTTTTTGAGGAAGCGCCAAACTGCCTTCCAGAACCGTTGTACCAATTTATAATCCCACCAACAATATGTAAAAGTTCCTTTCTCACCACATCCTATTCAACATTTATTACCTGCTACCTTGTTAAACTTTGCCACTGCTACCCGAATAAACTTCACTGTGGTTTTGATGTGCATCTCTCTTCTTGCCAGTGGGCAATGAGGTGGAAGGAATAGCACTCTGACTTCAAAACGTACTACAAACAGCATGGTACTGGTACAATGACACAGACCAATGGGACAGAATTGAGAACCCAGAAATAGATCCAGCTATGCATGGTCAACTGATATTTGACAAGGAAATAAAACCTATCAAATGGGAAAATGACCACCTTTTCAACAAATGGTGCTGGCAAAACTGGACTTCTTCCTGCAGAAACCTGAAACAGGATCCACTTTCACACCATACACAAAAATCAACTCAAGGTCAATCAGAGACCTGGGAATCAAGCCCCAAACCATAAAGTTTCATAAAAGACAAACTGGGATCAAGCTTAGAAGCTCTTGTCTACAGTATAAAGAGACTGCCAAATGCAGTCAGAAATGTACAATCTGAAGAGGATAAAACTAATGAATGAGACCTTCTAAAGATTAAATCCATGTGTGCATCAAAAACTTTTTCCAACAGGGTGAAAAGAAAACGTGACTGGTAATACCATCTATACCATCTCATACAAGAGTCTCATAATAAAAGTTTACAGAATACATCTGGACCTTCCTAAGGCAAAGGCTGATAACCCAATTACAAAATGGGCAAAACACATGGAAAGACTTTTCACACAGGAAGATATTTGAATGGCAAACAGACACCTGAAGAAACTACACTTTTTTTAAAAAAAAATTTATTATTTTGTGTGTGTGTAGTGTCAAATCAGATCTGACTAGTACAGGAGGAGATTATCCCTCCTTTTCCCGGCAGAGCATCTAGTGGATTTGAACCGTATACCTTTGCTTAAAACTACACATTTTTATGCTTCAGATGTTTTATGTTACTACCTTGCATTGCCAAATTAAAATTATCAAAATATGTATAATACTTATAAACACCAATCTTTGCAAAGAAATAAATTTGACAGAAAACAACTAAAAAAGGAAACCCCAAATCACAATTTTTTAAAATTAAAAACCTTAATAATCAGTATACTAAAAGTTAATAAACATAGTTTGCTTGAATTATTTGCACCAGTGTATCTTTCCACTGTATGACAGAAAATACAAATTTAAAATAAACGCTAAACTAAAATACCAACTAGACATCACATGGAAAGCAGTATTTTTCACAGAAGCTACAGAAAATATGAGATAATATATTTGAAGGACTAGATGATGGTAGAAGCAGAGTTTTAAGGGACGCTGAGCCCATCTGTAACCAAGGATTACTGTCAGCAGAGTCTTTCTGAGATCATTTACTTGTTTTCCACATCAGACTCTCATTCAAAGCATCAGCAGCAAGTCCCCAAGGTAGGATTAATAAGTTGATGTTCAAATAGTGAAAATAGGGGTGCTCTGGTTGGCTAGGTGCAAGAAGCTGCACTGCAATCCCAGAGGTACACAGTTCAAATCCACCAGATGCTCTGCTGGAGAAGGAGGGGCAATCTCCTCCTGTACCAGTCAACTCCAATTTGACGGTACACACACACACAAAAATAATAAAATTTTTAAAAACTTAAAAATTTAAAAAAAAACAGTGAAAATAAAGTAGAATCACATATAGCTTTTTGGGGAGAGAAGAGAGCTCAATCTGAAAATTATACTGATTTATCTGAAGATCCATGAAATAACTAAACCAAACTAAACACATTGTCATCAGGTGAGTTCCTATTCACAGAGACCCTTTAAGATAAAGTAAAACTGCCGCAGAGGGTTTCTGAGGCTGTAGGTCTTTACATTGGTGCAAAGTGGTACATCTTTCTCCTTTAGTGGCTTATAACTTCATACTGTCAACCTTCTGGTTATCAGTCCAGTGCTTATATTACAGTACCGCCAGAGAACCTTCCCATAAAACAGGTGCTGTGGTTAATTCAAAGGGAGAGGTTAACATTTAAGCCGTTGGTACAGACAGTTAAAAGATGGTAATCACAGACTGAGGTTTAACTGCCAGAAGATCCACATATGTGCAATATATTATAAATACATCTTTATTTTTAAAATGTTAAGATAAAATGAAATTGTGGTTTCAATCACCAGATTATGTAAAGTTCCTTCTTATTCTACAAAAACATCATCAGTACCCTTTACTACAAAATGTTACTAATGCCTAAGAGCAACATTACAAAATGCTTTTGATCTTTATGGTATCTCACCTTAATATCTTTGAGAGAGATGAATTTCTCAATACCCAATTCAATCATATCTAGCACATGGTAGTCATACATACGACCTAGAAGGAAAAAACATTTTAAGCATTTAGCTCTCCCAATACATGTCTTATCAACATATCCAAAACATCCTGGTACTTGTTTTTTCCTTTCTTCTTTTACCCTCAAACACACTTCCTCTTTCTTAAAACTTTCAGCTTACTAGAATTGATTACTAGGATGTAAGAGGTCATATGACACAGCTCCTTTATCTTAGGGAGCAGTAATTGAAGGTAAAGCTTGCCTAATTGAGTTTCCCAGATGAAGTCACAACATTCCCAGGCCAGGAATGTATTTCTATGTATTTATTAGGAAAGAGTTTATTTATGTGAACAGCTATGTTGAGTCTGTTTGTTTTCTAGTTCCAATACTGATTTAAGATAAATACAATGTTGTTAAATGTTACTGAGTTGGCTTCAAATTTATATATAGAAATACAGAAAACTTATATACAAAAGAAACCCTGCACAGCCTGTACCAACCTCACAATTTGTGGCTAATTGAAAGGTCAACAGTACAAATTCACTGTCACTTTAAGGAAGAAAGCTGGGCAACATTCTCCCTTAAGATTTACAGTCTTGGAACTCCTACTGAGAGTCTCTATGAGTCGGAACCACCTCAACAGCAGGGTGTGTGTAAATATATACATATGTCAGATACATGTGCATGTATGAATGCATACATATACATCCTATATTAGAAAAATACCCTACAATTTGCATTAGAGGAATGCTTTCTTTACCTGGAGAATGGTAGAAGGATTTTATTCAGTGTCATAGGGCAAACAAGAGTTTAGTGGTTGTTCCTGAATCTTCAACATCATCAGTTAGTCTAAGTCACAAAGCTGACTCTAAAATTAATAAAAGAAATAAACAAATTAGAAAATAAATGATACTTACCTATTACTAAGTTATTCGGCCGTTTCTTATTATGAGAACCAAACATGAATAAAGAACAATCTGATTTCTTGGAGAAGAACTCCTAGAAAGACAAAAGAAATACCATCAATCAAAGTATACTTGTAACAATGTTAAGAATGTTAACTCTTAACAAAATAACATCCGTTTTATTCAAGCAGATAATGAAAGCAGAGTGACCGAAACAGGACCATAAGGAGGAAAAGTTACTTTATTTCTGGCATTTCATGTCAAATTTTCTTATTCAGAGTACATACAGAAAAGAAGTAAAACTGTGATTAAGAATATATGAAAACTATTAGGTGGATAAATAAAATGAGGCTATTTGTCTTCAGCTACACAGCTATTTTGGAATAATACATCAAATGTTTCATCCGCTAAATAAATCTATTTCCTCATTAGATATTAATGATGCCAAGACACATGGGAGCTCACCAAGAGACACTAGGCCAACAGAGGTTAAAAGAGAAAGGTGACAGAGAGAAAAGCCTTGCCTAAGAGCTGGCACTCTGATTTTGGACTTTTACTCTTCTAAAATATTGACAGAATAAAATTCTATTTGATAAAGTTGTGATATTTTTATTATAGGAGCACCAGATAAATAAGACCGCTTATGCTATGACTAACCACCCAAAAGACTCTCAGAAAACACTCTTCATCCATTTTTTTATGCATCTCTGCCTCTAAATATTTGTTAAAATTATAAAGCAGAGCTAAAAGGTTTTCCTTCTGTAAAAGGTCAGCTAGTAAGTAAATATTTGAGGGCATTATTATCTTTTTAAAACAATTCTTTAAAATTATAAATAAAAATCATCCCTGGACCTCAGATAAACCACACGAAAAGTTTGATAGTGATTTAGAGCCCAAAATACGTTTTCAAGATTTTTTTTTTGAGGGAGGTGTAAAAATATTGTGGCAACAGGAGGATCAGGAAGACACTGACTACATTTCCAATATGATCACTAATTCCACGCTTATTTTAATGCCTAGAGCTCTGGGGTGTTTGTAAGCCTTCAAGGCGGAACAGAGCCACAGGTAACCTTCCAGATAGTTTTCAGAAGCTATTAACTGCACGAGAGGAGACTGCTAATCTCTCTCCTATTGAGCAGCTGGTAGATTCAAAGTGTTTACCCCTCCCTGTGCTAGCTGTGTAACTCTCACCCACCAGATTACCGGTGCTCACTCTAGAGTTCTTAGGTCTATTAAAATTCATGAAATAGCTTCTACCTTTAAAGGAAAGTGAGAAAAGAGAATGTCACACCAACTCTGCACTGAAAAAGAAGTACAGATTTTAACAGGACACTGGTAAGAAATAGTCACTCAACTAAAAGTATCATGGGTTCCACAAAATAAAAATCAGTCTTTGATTAATAAATGTATGAAAGAGCTGGTTTAAACTCTCCATTTTTAATTTCAGGCTACCTTTAACAAATGATGAAAAACTGAATCTGAGAGTAATTTTATTAAATAGAGGAATAATATTTATTTTCCACTATTTTTAATGTGTTTCAATTTTTGCATTTAAAACTGGTTACCAGTTAGGACAAAATGTTCAATTTTAGTCTTCTCATTAATTATTGAGATTCCAGTAATAAGCAATGGCATTCCTATCAAGAGAATTATCACTTCTTTTTAAAGAATTTAATTATTTTTAAGCAATTTATCATCTTAAAATTTATTAAACCAAATAACCTCAAACATTATACAGTCAAAGTCCATTATTTACTCTAACTTATCTTCTTTTGATTTCATTCATTAGTCTTTTCTCATTGCACTGTGGTTGCCAAAACAAACAGAACTTTGATTAACGCTAGTAAAACTCTAGTAAGTGTTAAATCATTCAGGCAGCAGCCCTTTTTAAATTATATATGAAAAAACAAAAGTCAGATTCAAAAAAATACAGCTTACTGTATTAGTAACAGATGCACAGAAAGCTTCCTTTTCACTATCTATTAATTATGCACTTTAAATATTTCAATTTTTACAAGTCTTATCAATTTACAACGTGCAAGCAGTGGATGCTGTTGTTGAATGCCTTAGTCAAGCATGACTCATAGCGACCCTTTGAACAGAAAGTCTGAAGCCCCTCTACCACTATCGGCATTTATCAAAGTTCATAGAGTTTCCTGAGGTATGTTATTTGGGAAGTGGATGCTACTTCTGCTTCCAAACCTGTCATAGTATGTTACTGTTATGTGCCAGTGAAGTCGCAGCACAGCACACTTAGTGACCAACAGCATCTACTAAAAGCATGTGCCTTTTTATCCTCCCCATTTTAAAACAAAAAATTCTTTCCCCAAAACAACTATGAGATATCATCTCACCCCAGTAAGAATAGCAAAATTTAACAGAACAGTAAGCAACAAATACTGATGAAGTTGTGGAGAAACTGGAACCCTTATTCACTGTTGGTGAAAGTGTAAAATGGTATAACCACTGTGGAAGGCGGTATGGTGCTTTCTCAAAAAGTTGCAGATAGAGAGACCATTTGATCCAGGAATTCCACTATTGGGAATATACCCCAAAAACACAATAACTGCCACTCAAGCAGATATATGCACACCCATGTCTATCATGGTTTTGTTCACAACAGCAAGGAGTTGGAAACGACCTAAGTTCTCATCAACAAATGGATAGAGAAGCTGTGGTATAGTCACACAATGGAATACTACGCTGCACTGAAAAAGAACTCATGCAATATTATTCATAATGGGTGACCCTGGAAGACATTATGCTGAGTGAAATATCTCAGTCACAAAAGGACAAATACTGCATAGAGCCACTACTGTAAAACAGGACTGACGTTAGGAAGAGACTGAGAAAGATGCATTGAAACAGATGAGGGAGAAAACTGTTTAAAAGGGATATGTGATTAGGTATTATTGTCATGACAGGAGTCCAGGACGAACTATAGTGGAGTGGGGGGAGAGATTATAAAACTATGAAAGAATTTTTATTTTACTTTTCAAAGAGAAAAGTGTACTGGAGTGGGAGGGGTGGGCAGGGAGAAAAGTACAACTGAATGAATGGAAATCCAAAGTCTCTGTAAATTGTCATTAAAATTAATAATAATAATAATAATAAATTCCTTCCCACAGAAATTCTTAATTGAAAACACAAATTAGGAGTATTACATGAATTAACCTTAAAAATCATTTATATGTTCTCTTAAATCAGAGCGTTTCTTATACTTACCAGTGATGTCTGATCCTCAAATGGCCTTGTGATATTTTTCCTAAAGGAATTAAACAAAAAAAGGGTGGCCCCAAATTTAGTAATCTTGTTAAGTAAATTTCCCCCTAACAACTCAGTAAAACCATAAGGTAAAAAAAATTTGATAGTGAATAAAAAAAAAAAAAAAGCTTAAAGGATATCCATTCACATAAATATTTTAGTGACTACATATGCAAAACAGTATCATTCAAGGATCTAGGGATGATGTTATAGTAACCATGTCAAACAAGATCACTGTTCTCACTGCTCTTATATTGTTTCAAGTGATATAAGCAAATAAGTAATTTTAAAAAGTATAAGTCAACCTGAGCTCTGGTGGCCTAGTGCTTTTCTAATTTTAACAATTTTTAAACCTTATAAAGAACTCTTTAGATCTTTTGCTGCAATTGTATTCTTTTCCATCAATATTCTAAAGACTATTTTAGAATTGGTGGTCTAGTGGCAAGAAAATGCACTGCAATCCTGAAGGCATGCGGTTCAAATTTGCCAGCTGCTCCACAGGAAAAAAATGGGCAATCTCCTCCTATGTGATTAATTGCCTCTGAAAATCTGCTGAAGAGCAGTGCTGAATGCATTCAGCTACTATACACAAGGTGAACACTCTAATCCTATCCATCCTTCCACAAGACAAACATGAGACAGTTTGTAAAGATTTACCACTTTAGAAACTCTATACATAGTACAACTCTGTCCTTTAAGATCTCTATGAATTGGAACTGACTTAATAACAATGGGTTTCCTGTTAGTGTACAGAGTGGAAAACAGACATTTGAGCGGAGACCTATCAAGAAATTAACAACGGAAAGGGGAAAAAAGTACGTGTACTTTAGGAAGAAGAAACAGAATTAGCAAAGATTCTGAGATGAGAAAAAGCTTGAGTATTCAAGGGGGAGAACAATGAAAGGATTTTTCTTTTTTTTTAAAAAAAAGTAGTATTCATGGGGGAAGAAAAAGAATATTCAAGGAAACCACACTGTCACTAAAGCCTAATGAGCAAGAGGTGAGTAACACTGCAGGTCAAAGATGTAGGTCTGGCCAAGATTATGGAATCTTGTTGGCCAAGGTAAGAACTGTGGGTTGTAAGAGTAATGAGGCTGATGTCATTAAGTTTGTTCAGTTGTCGCTGTTGGTGGGCAAAAAATACAGCCAAGATGCTGCGGAATCTGCTGGCTCTTCGTCAAATTACCCAGAGGACCATAAGTACTGCTTCACGCAGTTTGAAAATAAAGTTCGAGAAAAACAAAAGCTGTTTCAGGAGGATAATGGAATTCCAGTGTACCTAAAGGGTGGGATAGCTGATGCCCTCCTGTATAGAGCCACCATGCTTCTTACAGTTGGCGGAACAGCATATGCCATATATCAGATGGCTGTGGCTTCGTTTCCCAAGAAGCAGGATTGACTTCAAATTATCATTCCAGCTCTGGCTTCAGTTTAATTCCGTGCCCTATGGACCAGTAATCTGATCAAAAGAGCTCTTCTTTGGGGATCACTATTGACTTGCACTAACTGTCACCAATAAAGCAGTCTTTACCAAAAAAAAAAGAGTAATGAAGAGCACTAGAGGGTTTAGGCAAGAAGCTGACAAAGTCTGATTTATATTTTTATTTAAAGGATCATTCTGTCTGCTATAACAGACTATATTTAGGCACAGTAAAAGAAGTGCCAGAAAGGAGATAACAAAATAAAACAGGAGAGGGGGAAAAAAAATACAGGAAAGCAAACAGTGATAAGAGTAGGACTAGTAGTTGAAGAGATGAATTAGCAGTACAGAAACACAGAGCAAGTGGTCTTACACATAAAAAGAAAAGTAAAATATTTATTATTTTATTATATTGCTTAAACATAATTTTAAAACTCTGATCAGATAAATAAGAAATAAATAGTGGTAGAGCACTAGTGGCACAGTGGTTAAAGTACTCAGCAACTAAGCACAAGGTAAGTGGTTCAAACCCACCAACGGCTCCACCGGGCAAAAAAATGTGCCAGTCCACATCCATAAAGATTTACAGCTGCCTTTGAAAACCAATAATGCAGCTCTGCTTTGACCTATAGGGTTGCTAGGAGTCAGAACTGAACCAGACAGCAATGGATTTTTAAAAATATAAGAAATGTATTATCAGAAACTGGAATGGATGCTCAAACAGAAAGAGGATATTAGTGTAAAAACTGGTGATATTAAAACTAATTCCCTAATCTAGTTAATAATACTGCATCAATGTTAATTTTTTTAGTTCTAATAATTGTGCTATGGTTACACAAGTGCTATTAGGAGAGTGAAATGTTTATAACTTTTCTCTAAATCTATAATTATTTAAAAATAAAAGGTAAATAAGATTTTAAAGGAAAAAAAAACCCTAAAAAAATCATAATTATGGAAGAATATTCAGTAAAAAAATCCCAGAAATAAACCCTAACAGCTGTAAGAAACTGCAGTGTTTAAAAAAAAGAAAACAAAAAGTTCCAAAGTCGTGCTGACTGAGGGAGCCACGCTTCCTTCTTAACAAGGCTTCACTTGTGGTAGCTCCTCTCCGAGCTTCGCGATGCTGCCCAAGGACGACAAGAAGAAGAAAGTCGCCCATGAAGGACAAAGACCCAGTGAACAAATCTGGGGGCAAAGCCAAGAAGAAGTGGTCCAAAGGCAAAGTTCGGGACAAGCTCAATAATCTGGTCTTGTTTGACAAAGCCACATACGACAAACTTTGTAAAGAAGTTCCCAACTATAAGCTTATAACCCCAGCTGTTGTCTCAGAAAAACTAAAGATTGGGGTTCCCTGGCCAGGGCAGCCCTTCAGGAGCTGCTAAGTAAAGGGCTTATCAAGCTGGTTTCAAAACACAGAGCTCAAGTGATTTACACCAGAAACACCAAAGGTGGCGATGCCCCAGCTGCTGGAGAAGATGCATAAACAGGTTCAACCAAACTGTACATTTTAAAAAATAAAACTTGACTCAACAAACAAACAAACAAAAAGTTCCAAAGTCAATAGTTACTTTTTAAAAGAAATTGACTTGGGGCTGAGAATGGTGAGGAGGGATAAATCACTGGGTCACAGAGTTGGGTGGGTGGAAGGAGGAGGTGCAGGAATCAGGATAGATCGAGTGGGACCTGAGAAAATGAAGTGATAGTGGGCACAGATCAATGGTGATTAATTTTATAAAATATAATGCATGGAAATGATTGTATGATATGTAATATGAATGAAGAAATGTGTGAAATACAATGTGTAAGAATTTTGTATGCAAGCAAAACTAAAATTTAAAAAAGGAAAAATGCTTACCTTTTATATAGCACACCATAAGGTTTTTTCAGTGCATACTGTAAAAGATAATTTATAGCTTTCAAAAAATGCATTCTGAAAAGCAGAGACAAAAATAATGCATAACAGCAATCATAATACAAAATTATCCTGGTCCTTGATTATCCTGGTCCCTGAATCTTATTCTGTCTTCTATGTGAATCCCTAGCAAGTAAAATTTTTAACATAAGGCTGCTGTTGTTATCTGTCGTGGAGTGACCTGCAACTCATAGCAACCCTATGCACAACAGTCCTAAACCCTGCTCTATCCTGAGCCAATCTCACTGTCTCTGACACACCCACCTCCAGTCACTGAATTAACCCACCTCATAGAGGGTCTTCCTCTCCTGCACTGTCCCTCCACCCTCCCAAGCATGATGTCCTTCTCCAAGGACTAGTCCCTCCTTGCAACATGTTCAAAGCATGTCAGACGAAGCCTCAGAATCCTTGCCTCCAAGGAATAACCTGACTTAACCCTCTCCAGGACAAACCTGTTCATTCTCTTAGCAGGCCACGGCATATTCAATTAGTGTAAAAACTGGTGGAATTCAAACTAATTCTCTAAAGGCATCAATTCTCCTTCTATCATCTTTAATCACTGTCCAGCTCTCTGATGCACAGCAAGTGACTGTAAAGGCCATGGCCAGAATCAGGCGCACCTTAGTCTCCAGAGTGACATATGTGCCCTTTAGTACTTTGGAGAGGTCTCTTAACAGCCAACTTTCCCATCGCAATGTCTTTTAATTTCCTGACTGCTGGTGCTAAGAGTTGTTGACTGTGAAGTCAAGCAAACTGAAGCTGTTAATAATCTCAATCTCTTCACCATCTATTATGATGCTGCCATAATTAGCTCAATGGTAAGAATCTTTGTTTTCTTGATACTGAGCTTCAACCCATACTGAAGGCTGAAGCCTAATAACTACATTTTTCTAACTCAAAGTTTGTTTCCTTTCAATTCTCTAAACACTTTACAATTCCTTTTATTTCTTTAAACTCTCCCTGCTGTTTTTCCCAGGCAAACAATTTGAGCGTACAATGCATACTGCAGGCAGTCCTCAACTTACAGACAGGATTCAACACCATAATTTGGCTCCAACATTTAAGTCTGACATCTTTTTGTCTACTTTACTTATAATTACCCTTCATTATTACTATCCTTACAAATCTAATCTTCACTTTTCTTTGGTAGTTGGAAACATTACATATAAACATCTGAGTAAACATGATTAGCAAACTATACAAAGCATCAGGGTACATATATAAGTTAATAACAATAAAGTGTACTAAAAGATTCCAGAGAATTAAACATGGTTATAATTTTTAAAGGGTGGCAGAACTACTGGCACTTGCAAAAAAAAAAATCTATATGGAAAGGTTCTTTAAAAGCATTAAAAACAAATCTGGATATTTAAAAACAACAGAAACAAACCCTGGAAACAAGAAATGAAGAGTTTAAACACAGATCTTTTAAAAACTCCTTGCTTTGATTCTGTAAATCACTAACTTGGGAGGAGGGACTGGAGAGCATTATGCTAAGTGAACTAACTCAGTCCCATTAGGACAAATACTATATAAGACCATTATTGTAGAACATGTATGAGGACCCAAGGAGGAGAGAAGGGGAGCAGAAAGGTGAGGATGGGGAGTGTGAGGGGTGGGGGTGGGGGAAGAGATTAAGCATAAAGTTGCACAATTTGATGGGTGGAGAGAGGAGTGGGTAAAGCAAACAGTAAAGATCTCGTGTGAAAAACAACATACACAACCAGTTGTTGTTAAGAGTCATCAAGTCGAGCACAACTCATAGCAACCCTGTAAACAAAAGATCGGAACTCTGTTCTATAACTACCAACGTTTCTCTAATGTTCACAGAGCTTCCAAAGGCAATTCTGTTTAGGAAGTGGATGCCAATCCTGCTTCCAAGCCTGTCTTAATGTGGGAGCGCCACCAGTGTCCACTATGACTCGTTCAGCACCACAGCAATCCCAACTAACCTCAGTACAGTACACTGACAGAGCAGTGCTGTACTGTACCACTTAAGAGAATGTTCTTCCTGACTTTTCAATAAAAAGACCTGCCCAACAGGCCCTGATAGACTTAACAAAAGGCTTCCAGCCCACAGCTGAGTGTTAGCCAAATCCAGTAAATCCAATCAGCTTACACACGATTATGAACAAAATTTTAAAAACACCAGTTTATATCCGACTTTCAACTAAAACAAGAGAACCTACCCTCTGGAATCTAACTGCTTTACACCAGTATAAAATAAAAATTTCATTTAAAAAAAATCCTTGCTATTCATTCCTCTTTTCCTCTTTCTGCTTCTTTCCATTCATCACCAATAATCAATTATTACTTTATAGCCAGTACTACTTTATCATATGAATAAGAAAGATCCGGCGTAGTGATGTTAGAAGACGCCTTTGAGTTACAGTGCTAAAGTACTGAATATCCCCTGGACTATCAAAAGAACAAACAGTTAAGTCTTGGAAAAAGTGTAGCCAGAGTATTCCCTGGAAGCAAAGATGGCAAAGTTTCATGTTTCATACTTTGGACATATAGCTAGAAGAAGCTATTCCTTGGAAAGAGACATCATGCCTGGAAAGATGGAGAGTTGGTGAAGAGCAGAAAGATCCCCAATGATATGGATTGACATGGTGATTTCAGTAATGGCCTCTACTGTGTTGGAGATGGTGAGAATGGCACAGCATTGGGCAGGGTTCAAGTCGGCTATTCACAGGGTTGCTATAAGTTGTACTCAACTCAACACCACCTAACAGCAACAAGGCACTGGTACAGTGATGTAATTTGGTGAAATGCTAATCAGAAGATTAATAGTTGAAATCCACCGTTACTTCTCAGAAGAGGAGCAGTCTCCTCCAATAAAGATTTACAGTCTCTGAAAATCAATACTTTTTTGGTTTGTTTGTTTTCATTTGGCGGTAGAGGAGGCACTGTCTAGTATTGAGAAGTAAGTTGTTGTTGTTGTTGTTATGTGCCGATTTGCCTGTGACTCATAGCGACCCTATGTACAGCATCCCTAAACCCTGCTCTATCCCTTGCCAATCTCACTGTCTCCAAAAAACCTATCCCCATTATCCCAGTGACTGAATCAATCCATCTCATCGAGGGTCTTCTTCTCCTGCATTGTCCCTCCACACTCCCAAACATGACGTCCCTCTCCAAGCACTGATCCGGCCTTGTAACATGTTCAAACTATGTCAGACGAAGCTTTGGAATCCTGGCCCCCAAGGAGCAGCCTGGCTTCACCCTCTCCAGGATGAAATCTGTCTGTTCTCCTAGCAGTCCATGGTATATTCAATACTCTTCTCCAACACCACAGCTCAAAGGTATCAACTCTCCTTCTATCATCCCTAGTCTTTGTCTAGCTCTCTGATGCACAGCAAGTAATTGCAAAGACCATGGCCTGTATCAGGTACACCTTAGTCTCCAGACTGACATCATTGCTCTTCAGTACTTTTGAGAGGTCTCTGACAGCAGACTTTCCCAAGGGAAACAATCAATAGGATAAAATGATCATTCATCATCTGTTAGAGTCAAAAAACAAAGGTTTTCTTAAAAGGGTAAAAGCTACTTAAAAAAATTTATTCATTTTTGTGTGTGTGTACCATCAAATCAGATCTGACTGGTACAGAAGGAGATTGTCCCTCCTTCTCCAGCAGAGCATCTGATGGATTTGAACTGCTCACCTCTGGGATTGCAGTACAGCTTCTTGCAACTAGGCCACCAGAGCTCGCCAACCTACTCCTTAAGTACCAAAATTTTTGGTCCTTTTTGACCACTTGTTTCCTCGCTTCAATATCTTGAGCATTATCAACTTTTTTGACAGCTCAGTCATCATTATGAATGTCAACTACTATTATAATGTGTAATATTGCACAGCTCTTGGAATTTATTAGTTATTTCTCCCGACACAATCCCTTGGTTAAGAGCATGTTTGTTAACCAAATGGGTCAGGAGTTCAAACCTACCAGCTCCACCGCAACAGAAAAAAGACCTACCTGCTCCTGTAAAGGGTATTTCTACCATGTTATATATGTTGTTGTCGACTCCAGTACGACCCATAGAAACCCTATGAACAACAGATCTGAGCCCTGTCCTAACCTGTGCCATCCTCACAATCTCTGACATACTAGAGTCCAACACTGCAGTCACATTGTCATATAGGATCACTTACATGAATCAACTTGATGGCACACATCAGATTACCATATAATAGTTGGCCCAGAATTAAAATCTTCCACAACTGGTATTTCTGCTCTTTTCTACTTTTGACTCTTAAGTTTTATATATAGTCTTTTGACTCTTAAGTTTTATATATAATGATCAAAGCAAAGCCTATGAGGTGATATTTGAGGAGAATTTTAAATTGAATAACAAACATTTCAGAGAAAGAAATAAAAAGTTCAAAAGCAGTGAGGTTGGTAAATCAAGGACTGGAAAAGCAGTCAGTAGCTTCTGTAGCAGGCAAGACTGAAGGTTACAAAATAAAACTTAGAACTGGAGTATCTTCAGTCTTTTTTCCTCCTCAGCGTTCCACCAGTCTTTATTATATACTGTTCTTGTCCTTTTAAAAAAAATTTCTTTCATTTGAGTTAAAAGTTTACAAATTACACTTTTTCACAGACTCATAGACATTCTGTAACATTGTGGGGTTTTTTGTGTACCTGGAGTTAGAAATGACCCGTACCTGACCCTCTAGCAGTTTTCAGAGATAGTAAATCACACAGGAGAAGACTGTCCATCCTTCTTCCATGGATTAGCTAGTGGATTCAAACCCCATGCCTCTGGGATTGCAGTGTAGCTTCTTATTACTAGGCCATGCAAGTAATCATAACACCCAACTAATCCTTTATTGTGTATTGCTTTTCCATTCAGCCAAATTATCAATTTTTACTCTACTCTCCCTCCCTTCGCATACCTATTAAGCCTCCAAGATTGACTCTAGCTGTGTGTAAACCACAGAGCTTGTTTATAATTTTTAAAGCTTTTTCTTAATTTT